AAAAGTTTTGTAATGCAGCGTTTCAGAATAATCTAGTTTGTAGTCGATCTGCCTACTGCTGCAAAGAGTTTTGTTCTAATGTTCAGTAAATACTCATAGTTGTTTCGTTCCCTAATGGAGAGTAAAAATAAATTTAAAAATTATGAGGAATGTATATACATTTAACTGCCGTTAATGAAGAGCATCAGGGCAGACGTGCCTGCTATTATAGCTGCAGCGTATCATTGACACGCCGTGGCTTCTCACTGTAAAGTGGACGTCGTTTTTCGTTGGTGAATAACGGCGATTTATGTATAGAATAAAAGTGTCGGCACTGAAGAAATATGCCCATGGCCTGTTGCCGATTCTTGAATTTTTCGTTCGTGACTTGATTCACAAGGGATCCAGCCTTTGGAACCCGATCTTTCTATAACTGACGATTGATTGAGATAGCTGCTGGACTTATTGCCTAGCCCGTAATTTGCTAGGCATTTTAAGACTGAACATATGCTCCTGTATAGCTTCGTCTAGTCTGTTTTTGAAGATGTTCATACTCGGAGCTGTCTCTTATACACATCTAGATGTGTATAAGAGACAGATTGAGGAGCGACCAGTGGACTCGAAGTTAACTAGTTTCGAGATACATGAAGAGGAGGTTCTCAAGCGCCTGGTCTCCCTGAATCCCAACAAGTCATCTGGATCAGACGGTTTCCACCCTAGATTGCTCAACGAATTAGCAACCGTCCTGGCCGGNCCCAAAGACTTCAATTTACGCAACAACCGCTCATGTGGGACACTGTCAAATGCCTTGGCAAAACCGAGGTACACTGCATCTACTGGCTCCCTTTCGTCCAGCAGGCGGGTCCATTCGTTCAGAGTAGAGAAGAGGTTAGTGGTGCAGGATCTCCCGGCAATAAAGCCATGTTCACGGGCTTATAAGAGATTATTAGCAGTCAAATGATCTATCAATCGATCCCTCACAACAGATTCCATTACCTTGCAAACGACACTTGTCAAACTGACAGGGCGATAGTTGCCCGGGCAGCTTTTGTCACCTTTTTTGAATAATGGTGTCACTTGAGCTTCTTTCCAGTCAGCCGGCAAGATCCGGCACTAAAATTAAACTTAACAACCCAATGGACAGTCCTCAGATTACACCTACCATCATTACAACATGATAGCTAGCTACTTACGCATTTCATCTATCACTCACCATCATGTACGAAGCCTTCTAAATATGATCTCATAACAGTTTATCTCAAGAATGCTTGGGAGATTCCGTTAGTTGTCATTTTTTTGGGTTGCAAGATTGCTTTTACCTTAGATATTTTAGTTTCCTGAAATTTCTTTGTTAACTAATTATTTTGTGTGTCCAATGCGTTTTCGTAGCTAGCAAACCACGAGCCGCAAGTAGCTCTTCTTACGAATTGGAACAGATTTTCAAGATGGTAAGAGGTGTGAAGACAATGGCAAAATTTATATTATGGATTTGAAAATGGTGAACTTTCGGATTTCTTGAGAAGATTGAAGCGAATAAAGAAGATAATTAGACCAAATTAGTTTTTTATCCATGACAATTAACTAATTATTCCATTTAAGTCAGATCAAGCGAAATATTCATTTTATTGCGAACACTGGGATTGCGAACTGAGATTGGGTATATCCTACATAGCAATACTCAGACTCAACAATGCTCCTTTCCGCCTCTTTCAGAATGTAATAATAATTCAGATATACCTCACTTGATCCCCCTGATGACAATCGCATCCTCGGTCAGCTCATACTGTGTTTCGTAACTGACAAATGGCCAAAGTACAAGTGCACATTTCGATTGACTCCTGCAGTCCTTCTTGATTCCGTCTTTTAGTCACAGGCCGTCTGCACGGTATTCTGCACCTGTGAGGCTGTAAGCCTGAACCACCCAGCGTGGACCTCCCGATAAGAAGAAGGTGTGCTGCAGCTCATACGTTGTCCACTCATTTTATTCAAGCATTTTATTCCTCACTATATATTCGAGTGAATAACCAACATCTTTACATTTTTTTGGAAGACGTATCACGTAAACATGGTGAGTAATGAGTACCTATCTTTTTTGTATAGACCTATCATCTATGGAGAATTTGTTTTGTACTTGAATCTAAAATCATGCGATTAATTTGTCATTCACTCATTTGTGTAATTATTTTGCTTAACATTGTCTGTTTTGACTAAGAATCAAACTTGCTTGGACTTTGCCTTGGGCTTTGGAATCCCATAATTTATGAGTAAGGCTAGAGTGAGGCTTTTTAGCTTAAGGGGACTGGCTACCCTAAAATTTTCAATTTTGGCATTTTCCGGTTTTTGTGCTCATCTGAAAGCTGAAATTCTGCTCTTTCCAATGGTACCACACTACCACTGCCATTGCTGATTGCTGTACGCCAATAGGGTAAACGCGGTATATTCCGACATCGTAGGTAATTCCGTCACCTCTCCAGCTTTTCCTTTATATTAAGCTTTGTTTTAGTTCCATGCGTTTAGAGCGGTCAGACTGCTTTATTACATGTTCAGTTGACACTTGCTGTACAATCGGACTGTTTTTAGGGTAAAATTAGTTATTTGGGGTAACACGTGCATGCAACCTTGTAAATAGTTCGTCATTACTCAGCGTAAATGGCTGTTCATTAAAAATTACCCGGCAACGCTGCATCCACCCTCTGCATAGTGGTCTCCTCCTACAGTTTTCAAGCTACAGCAATGAGACACATACCATTTGACTCGCAAAGACCATACCTATCAATTTGAACATCACTTTTTACCACGTTTTTCTTAGCTCGCTTTTGTGTCTGTGATGATCAAATCTTGCAATCAATATTTCACCAACTTTCCCGCTAGCTTGCGCTCTGAAACTTTTAGGGAAGCTCAGCTACCGATAACAATACAATAATCAATAATTTGTGGCATGTTTCCAGGCGTATTTATTACCTAACCTTTCTTTATTACAGCCACGCACCCAGATAAATACGGGAAAAACAATGTATCCCCTCGAATACAATTTTCTACAGAACTTACAGAAAATAATTTTCTTTCATGCATTTGCGTGGCCAACTGAAATGAAATGAATATTATGTAGGATGGCTGACCTTTGTGCACTAGTTATGAACTCTAAAGGAACTCACAAGCAGGGGCTGGGAACCTTTAATGCACGTCATCCTCGAGAGGATATTCGTGTTTAGACTGCATATATCGATGATACGCTTCGTATCATCGATACGTACGTCGAGTCAAGTAAATTGCCTCGCAACAACGTTTTTCATGTGTAGCAATGGACTAAAAAGGAGAAAATAAAATACTTAAAAAACTAAAAAGTAGAAAATAAAATGTATAAAAAAAATTTTTAAATACCACGTTTTTCATGTGGACTAAAAATTAGAAAATAATTTTTCGGCAGCTACTGATCTCTGTTTGCTTTCATTCTCTTGGTCTTTTGTATTTCAGTTAGAATATTTTACAACATCTAAAACAAAAAATGTGAGGCGCATATGTATTTAATTGTTTGGTGATTACTTATGAATATGATGAATATGATGGTTGATTGAACATTTGATAAGTGTATTGCTGGTATAATTCGAAATAGTGGTTGAATTCAAAATTGAAATTAAGGCATGCCTAAATGGAGATGCGCCTCACGTTTTTCGTTTTAGATGTTGTAAAATATTTGAACTGAAATACAAAAGACCAAGAGAATGAAAGCAAACGGAGATCAGTAGCTGCCGAAAAATTATTTTCTAATTTTTAGTCCACATGAAAAACGTGGCATTTAAAAATTTTTTATACATTTTATTTTAATTTCTGTCTGGTTCGTTTTTTATATGGGTAGAAGGGGGGGGGTAGGGGGAAAATGAGAAAAATGGGGAAAACGCGCATAAAAAAACTATGGGGAAAATGTAAAAACCCATGTTTGAATTGACAGGTATGGTCTTTACGAATAGAATGATACGTGTCTCGATGTTGTAGGATGATATTTGTAGGAGGAGATAGATTTTCTATAGTACACTTTTTAAGCCGTTTTCTATGAATTTCACGTTTTCTATCAATTTTTTCGAAAAATTCATAGAAGCAAAATGTTCTTATTTTTACATTTTACGTATGTATGTGAAGTTTCATGATGATCGGATAATAACTGTAGAAGTTTTTCCGGAGGGTAGCCATTCCCCTTAATCAATGTCTAACAGTCTATTCAAGCTCTCTAGCAGCCATCTTGTCTTCAAATTGGCATCTATTATTGAATACCAATCACAAAAAATGTATTGGTTGTTTGACACTGTCTTAAAGGTGCAGACTTCCAGCTTGTTTTGATTGCTTCTATCTGTTCACCACTGCAATTGTAATATGCACATCAGTCATATTGATCATAATGTGTGTCTGTCCTATACCAATACCTATCCATGCCAATCATCGCACATTGGTCATATTGACTGTGAATCATGATCTGTGGAAAAGCATAATTGTCAACTGCCATCCCATGATCCCCCTCAATCATACCTGAGCAATTAAATTAGTGTTCTGAATCTATGTTGTACCATGCTTTACAGCCTGGGTTTCACTGGTATTTTTGTCCAATTCATGTGTGGCTTCTATAAAATTTTCTACTTTGGTTTGGGAAGATGCATATTATTGGGATTTGGGAGGTTTCCCTAAAATCACAAGGAGCATGTGCTGTCTTTCTTACTTTAATAAAAGAAATAAGGCAAAGGCTGTAAAAACTGTCTTTGGTGCAGGGCATATTTTTTAAAACATTATACGTATATTGGTCCTCACAGAGAGATGGCATGACATATTAATTCCTGATTTCCTGTGGCTGTACACATGGCACATCTTGATGCCAAAGTGGAAATTTGGGCTTAAGCTGCCTGTGAATCAGACAAATGAATCCAGCCAATTTTATATATTCTAATGGCCTTTTCCCATTTCATTCAGTGGATAAAAAGGCCCAGTCTCACCATCAATTTTCAGAAATTGTCTGAAACAATCAATTTTGCCTGCCATTTTAGGAATCTTTGGCCAATATTCTAAATAGGTCTTGAGGAGTGTGAGGCAAAGGTCATAGTTATGGGTGTGAATGTCTAAGAGCACAGGTGTTTTTGTCTCAATCACTGATAGTTTCTGCTCAATATTTCCAGTTGGGATTCAGTTTTATAAATATGATATATCATTGCTATTAGTGGCATATATGCCTGTGAAATAAGTAGCAGTTGGCAGTGCCAACTGCTACTTATTTCAAAATTCAACTCCTATGTCAGTGCCAACTTATTTCAACTTCTACTTATCCAACTCCTATGTCAGTGCCAACTTGGCACAATGGCACTGACATAGGAGTTGGATTGTGAACAATGGACTGAAAGGAGGGCACTCACATTATTTTCATGTTTCATCTATTTTTTAACTGAGTTTCATCTTACAGAAATGGAATAGGTATATCTATGTACTTTCTAAGACTTGAGCTTTCCCCTCATTTTTGGTGCACCAATATTCATGCTAGATAAATCATCTGCTCTTTAGTACAGTACCTACTCTATGAATTGGTAGCAAAATTAGTAAGATGCACAATACCAAATGTATTAAAAATATGTCCCTTTGAAGCCAAAAGATTTCAGTATTTTTCAGGAGGTTTTTTTATTGTGAAATAAACTTGTTTTTTAGATTTAAAATTTCCTCATAGACGGACTATAACTTACACATTGTAAGAGCTTATTGGATTGTTTATATTTTATTACTTTTTATGTATTACAGTTTTATATAGGTATATTGTTGCTCATTTTCTTCTTTCCTATAGCTTAGAAAAGTTTAAAAACCTACTCATTTGTGATATGAATTATCTTTTATTATTTGCTCCTTTCAGGGTAAAAAACGCTTCATTGACCGCAAGAAAGATGTTGTCCATACAATCGTCCTCTCTAATAAGAACATGTCAGGGGCTGATCCTATTTTTGGAGCCCTCCCTGCACCAACGAAGAAAAAAGATAAACCAATGAAAGCAAAAGCATTCCAATTGAGGTGTGACCTGCCAGAAGACCCAAGCCCAATCGAAAATTCTGAGTCTAATATGAATTGTGATACTGATACAGCTGGTGAGGTGAAAATGATAAACTTCTCTGAGGATTTTCCAGCTCTAGGTGGAAATGAATCTGGGTTTAAAAGTTCTGTTAAGAGGAAGAAAGGCTCAGAGTCAGCCACAAAGGTGCACAATACTGCAAGCACATCACAGTCCCTATCATCACCCAATTCATCAGCATGGAAAACAAATATCCCCAGTTCTTCTTGTGATGATTCTTATATGGACAGTCAACAGGATGATTATGAAGAGGATGATAGCTGTAGTCGCTTCAAGTTTGCTCGTTATGGTATTTATTTTGATGATGACTATGACTATGGACAACATCTGAGAGATCCCAATGACTGGCCTCTAGCAGAAGAAGATGCTGAGTTACAGACAATTGTTCAGCAACACCCACAGGTAACTTTTTGGGAGATTCAGTTTGAAGTAAAGATTTGGAAATTATGGTACGGTATTCTAGAAGATTCTGCATTTTTCATGATTCTTATCACTTCTGAAAATTCTTAAAATTGGTGCTGTTGCATTGTTATGCATGTTTTTGAAATGATATCAAGAGAAATTATAATTTTACTCCTAATTAGTAATTTATTTATTAGTCTCAACTTTTTCTTATTAATGATTCTTTCCTTTTTGTACAAATAGGCAAGAAAAAAGAATCCCCCAAAAAAGCTTGACACTATTCCCGAGACCTTCAAGTATGAAGCTCCTGCATTTTGTGATCCTTCACATTCTATAGGTGAGTGTACATAGGAGGCTGGCTTGCAGTAACCCGATTTAAAAAAAAATGTAACTCAGTATGCACTGCAGTGAGTGACAGAGAACACAATTTCTCAAAATCAACAAAAATGTGAAGTCACAGACGGACGGCTGGACATGATGAGCACAATAGGGCATTTTTTCCATAAATGAGAAAATGTGCTAACAAGAGAAGATTCAATTAAAATTATCAGGTGTAACTTTAAAGTGTTACAACTAATAATTTCAGTTTTGAATGCAAAATCTCAGTACCTTTTCAGAAAATTTAATTATTGCAGTGAGAGCCAAGATGAGAATTTGCTTATATTCATCTACATTATATTTAAGACTAGAATATTACTGAAACACTCTGCCAAATAGTTTGTGTGTGTGACAACACAAGCCACAAAATGCAATTTTAGTGTCTATTTAATTGTATTTCTCACACAGCTTTTGAAGAGGAAGCAACTGCTGACCCCTACGATGAACTCTTTGATGATGCGGATGAAGGGGAATTGCCAGATGATATTGTGGACCTGCTCGGAGGAGAGGATCTGTGAGTTAATACATCCATTTATTGGTGTCATGATATGCCAGCTGTTTTTTATATTATATTTGTGAAAAAAGAAGTTTGTACGGAGAATGAAAAGGGAATCACCGCAAAAATAGGCTACAGGATGCATGAGTGTTGTCAATATTGGGTTGAGGACAGTCAGGACATGTTTGTCATTCACCTCCAAGAAAAACTTGTACTAGTTTGATTATTGGTACTAGGTGATTCAGGGCCTTCAGCTTATTCTTGTGCTTGTATATTTCCAATTACTTAACCCTTACTTCTCAAAGACTCGCATGCATTCTTTGCCATGCTGTGTAAAATGCTCCACAAGTAGTTATGTTTTGAAACGCATGTTTCCCGGAGGTCTGGTGTCTCTGAGGGGTGAGAGAGGGAGGTCTGGTGTCTCTGAGGGGTACCCTGATTTGAGCATTTGCGATTTCTTTCTTTGGGGACATCGAAAAGAAAGGGTGTTCAAAAGTTGCCCTCGCACCCTACCACAGCCAAGGGAACGGATTATTGCAGCAGAGGTTATGGCCATACCTTGCCATATGTGTGAATGTGCTGTAGGAAACTTCCGAGAACGACTCCAACAGTGTGATGCAGCTAACAGACACCATCATCCTGATATTGTTTTCAAAACATAAGTATTTTAAATGGTATGTTACCTTCATTACTCTTTTATTTTGCCTCAAAACTACTCAATCGGTTATGCCCCACCCTGTATAAGCTAGCTAACACATTTAAATTGTATATTGTAATCAATATATAACAAATAGTCAAATAGTTGAAGACTACTTATAGCCTTATAAGATTTAGCTAAGCTGCTAGCTATGTACAATGTATGCCTCTGCTAGCTATGTACTTGATGCCTCTGTACCAAAAACATTCAATTTATTGGAACCTAATACACACTAAAAGCAAAAAGTTTATATACCAATTTATCATCCATAGTACATTCATACCAAACTACGAATAACAATACCTCAAAATAAATTAAAGACTGCCACTCAATATATTTAACTAGGTATGTAAAAAAAAAATCAAGTGATTTAATCACATGATTTAATCATTTTGATTTAATCATTGCCAACCCGGCTCAGAATAGTTTTGAACCTTTCCACCCTGGCATGAATTGATCTTGAGATCTTACTTGATTTTTTTTTCTTTGACCTCCAGTCTGCAAGTGTGGTTCTATAAATCTTTTGGCTATGAATATCATGCTAGCCAGAAAATGATCATCTTATCTGTTCAGCATTATTTCATTCAGTGGGAGCATCCTTTGAGCTTACATAACAAAGAGTAAGTTTACTTAGATCTGATGAAGAAAAATGACAATTGAGTGATGAGGATTCCATCACGCAATTAGTTATGTAAGGATTCCATTATTAACAGTCAATCTTAGGAAAAAAATGCTTGTGACAGCGCTAATAACTGCTTTTCAACGTGATACTTGTATGGCATTTGTTGAACGAGACTTACAGTGCTACCATCATCTTTCATGCTTCTAATTTTTTACTTTACTTGGTTGTAATTAGTAAATAAATGAATTTGTGTCGCGTGGATGATTGGTCTGAAGATCTGACCACATGGAAACATGCTCGGTAATCCACTCATTTGTTTGGCACGTCTAATTTGCCAGTCTTTCAATGGCTGACCTCGTGGAAAGCAAGAGGCCACAAACATTGAGGCCTGAACAGTTGTTGTTTTGGTATTCTCATGATAATACTAAGTAATTTTCTCTTATTTCAGAGATGAAGATGAAGACTGCTCTGAAGATGAAAGCAACAGTGATGGCGTACAAGATACCAGCGATGGCTTCTTGAATGTTAGTGATGATGAGGAGGCTGGAAATTCAGACCATCTGTTCGATGATGCCGAATCACTTCCCGAGGAGCAGAGCTCAGATGCTGAAGATCGTCCCGTCGCCGACGGAGATGTAAAGGCAGCTGTGGATGGATTTTTTGACAGTGTAGGGTTCACGTCACCTGAAGATGATGTGCCACAATCTCCAAAAATTCCAGCATTGCGGTCTTCTAAAGGAGCCAAGATGGTCACTGATCAGTTTGAACACTTCAATAACAAGTTTGATGCCATGGTAAGTAATAAAAAATATATAATAGTGTGTACTAGTTCTTTTTTGCGCATTTTCTCAGTTATGGAAAAAATGCACTATTGTGCTTGCCATGTCCGTCTGTCTGTCCGTCCGTCTGTCCGTGACCTCAAGTTTTCGTCGACGAGAAAATGCGCTCTCTTTCACTCACTGCAGTGAGTACTGAGTTATATTTTTGTTCATTTATTGACAGTGATGAAGAAAGAAGCGCTTATAGGTATGTGCAAGATGTATTCTTGCTGTCTTCCGTGTTCTTAGCTATGAAGCTACTTAGAGTTTAGCATGTCGAACATGACATGTGAATCAATTGAGCCAGTGATGTCTGCAATACAATAATTTGCTACAGATTCTTCGAGACTACAAAGACTCGGATGTGGGTGACGCCAGGCTTGACGAAGTAGATGGATACCTCGCTGACGACGCGTCACAGGTGTCTCAGTTTGGGCGTGAGCTGCGGTCTGTCAAGTACAGGGACGAGAACGTCGCCCTCGTGGGGCCCAACAAGGAACCAGAGTCGCTGGAGGACGAGCAGAGCCGCCGCCAGGCGCTGCAGTTCTGTAAGACCTTCACACCCAGCACGCCTAAAACATTTGAGGTTCGTCATTTGTACCGTTTGTGCTTGCAGTACCAAAATTTGAGTTTGAATCTTCAGGTATAAACTCGTGCAACAATTAGTTTCCAGTGTATTAACTCGTTCGGCACTACGCGTATTGCTCTGTATTTATTATGGCGATGAGTAATTTTTGATCTTGTTTATTCTCAACATCATGTCACCAGTGTTGAAGCTACTGCCTTTTTACTCCTAACATTTCTTTTATTTCAGCAATTGGCTTCAGGGCACGAAAGTCCTAGAATTCACTATAGCCGTTGAGCTTTGCTTAGCGTTGTGTTTGTCTGGTACTCATGGAAGTTGTCTCTACATCAATGAGTGCTTTAAATAACTTAGTTACTTTGGTGTCAGATTTTAAATTGGAAAATTTTAGATGGTTCTTGGATTACAGGCATCTCTCTACGCACCCTTCAAAATTTCAAGTGGATCTTTTTTTTTTGTAAATGCGCATTTGTTTTTTTGTTTGTTTTGTTTTGTTTTTTTGCTATATTTTGTTGTAACCGTACAAAGGAGTATTTTGGTAATATTTGTTTGCATGGAAAAAATGCATGCATTTCTATAACCGCATTGCTAAATTTTGTTTTCCAGATCAAAAATAAGAAAAAAATTCATATATATCTCAGGTTTCCGTGCCGGATCGCAGTGCAATGAAGTACAATGTAACAAATTTACCGAGCATCCGCACTAAAAATAAGCCAATAATCATCAAGAACGAACTGCCCTACCTCAGCCGCGGCAAGAAGAAGGGACTGAGCGTCAAGGACCTCAAGCAACACGACGCTGAGTTTAACACGCCTCATAGAGAAGGTCACCATCATATTTATAGCAAATAATGCATTTTAAGTTAACTCAATACAATATACTTTTTCATTATAGTTTTTGCAACTTAGCTTTTTATGATAGTAATCTCATTGAATGAGTTTTCTTTAGAGACAAAATGTTTCGTGCTCACAACGTGATCATTCCTTATAGAATTTTCTTGTAGTGAAACGTCGTCAAAAAATCAAGCCCATTGCGTATTTTGTATGACTCCAGCCGGTAGATAGTACACGTTTAGATTGTTAATATGATTATAAATTGTGACGAAATTTCGTTGTAGGATACATGTTCTTTTTCCGAATCAAGCCTATGAGATTTTTTTGCATTTATATGGAGCTGGCCGTACTTTGCTGTCGATAGCATCTTATTATTTGCCTGCTTCTTGAATCTGTTGTGTTACTTACCTGTTATTACCCCCTATACTACAGTTGATGAAGAAGCGCAGACTTACAAGACCATGATATCCGAGCTGTCCTACAGACCACCCGACGAGACCACTGAGCAGCATCGGCAGCGCAAGGCAGCTCTCAAAGAAATCAGACGGGTAAATTTTTTTTCGATTATTCAGTAAATTATTTACATTAACCTTAGAAGCTTTTATGTGTGCCAAACATGACAATCGTAAAATGACCTACTTCAATTACGAATAGTGAGTATACGGTACTTCTTGTTCACCTCATTCATAGTCGTCAATATATGGCAAAAATTTTATTTACTAATCTACATCATTATTTGACTATCGCCATAGGCACTTGCTGAGTGATATTGCTCAAAATTTTTTTTATGAATGAAAACTGAGTTTGCCATTACCACTATCTCAAACGTCTTGCAATTCGAATTTAGGATGAGATTGGGTTCATACACTCATGATTGTAAATTATCATTTAATTTTAACAAGTTGAAGAGCTTCCGGTCAGTTTTTGCGTTCAGTTGCAAGTATGTTAAATATTTGATGATCATTCACTTCTAAATAAGATTTTTAAAGAGTAAAGAGACGAACGTGCTCTTCTTTATTTTGTTCTGTGTTTTTTGTTTGACTATTTTTTCTTGTTCTCTAGGGTTTTATTCTTCTTTCCGTTGAAGGGCTCGGCTCTTCCGTTGTATCTTTAATCCTTTTACAATATTTTTAATCCATGTTTCTTCACAAAGATTTCTTAACTATTCTCGTTGTGACGTGAGCTTGTGTCCTCGGTGCCTCATCTTGGACTATTTCGCTCCTTGCTAGACTTTTTGTATTAGAAAAGTCTTGTTATAATTATACCAGCTGAATAAAGATGAGTGAGCTTTGATATACATTCGATTTATTCATTAACTAGCGGGGCCATATAGAACGGAGCCACTTTATATTGAGCTCTTGCAAGGTCACCATTAGCCCAGTTATAATTCACTTCTGAGGTGATCAAGAGATATTCAGAGAACTCAAATATTTTAATCTGATGAGCTAGGCTCTACACTTCATAGGATAACTATTTCAAAGCTTTAACACGGTTCTACTGAAGAACAACTATATCATGGTGATCATTCATTGAAAATGGTGTTAGTTAATAAGAAAGTTACAGCTCAGGATAAAAGATAAAGTATTGATATACAATAACATGATCACAATGTGACTGCATTTGTTACAGGCGAGGCGGGAGGAGAAGAAGCAAAACACTCTTGCACTCCGCAACGTTCTCATCCACACTAGTCGAGTCAACATCAATGCCAATCGATGCCAGGGAGTTCCGCTTATTTAGCTTCTCGTGCATTAAAGTATAAACAGAAGTGATAAAACTTTTTATTGACTGTCCTGTACGTTAAGAATTGCATGGACAAGCATATATATGTATATACCAGCGTCCTTGCTGCTCCAATGCTGCTCGCCTTTGAAGAGGCCATTCTGGCTTGCCCCTACTTCGGGCTACTGCGACGCTGGCGTCTTGCTCAAGAAGCGCCGCCTGTCCTGAGTGCTGGGGCCTCCTCCTGTCCGTGCAGCATATGTTTGCTTGCGTTTTAAATGGAAGACTTGGACAAAATTTTCCGCTTGAATTGTCATGAACCGGCTGCGACAAGCTTAGGTAGACACTTTAACGTATCGGCTACCAAGACTTGGCTGTACCGTCATTTGAAACGATAGTCTGGTGACTCTAGTTTATAAAAATGCTGAAAGCTGCACATTCGTTCAATTAACGTAAAAGATAGAGTAAACTGCTCATTTACTATAGGTGTCCGATTGTTATAGATCTTCAAAAGTTCAACACGCAAAGAATCTGGTCTTTGTAGGCAAGGTGATTCATTTTCACGACAGTTCTGATGATTTGCGACGTTTTTTTTAATGATCTATGTAAAGATCCGACAGATTGGTCCGGGCTTTAGTACCTTGGGCAAATGAACGGACATCTCCATATTCTCCAGGAACAGACGGTTCATTTCCTGATTTCAAAGTTATTATAGGAATTTTCACTGTTCCCTTTACCACGTTTTGCTGATTCTTTCAGATTATTAGACACTTAGATTGTTACTATATGATAGTTAGGCGTAAAGCAAAAACTGTTTAGGCAAGGGGCTAAATGGACCAGTTCCCACTTCCCAGTGCTCCTATAAGAAGTAACAAGAAGAAGAAGAAAGTTGTTATACCTACCTACCTACCTACTTGACTAAGTTGACTTGTACTGTCTGCGGATGTTCCAGACTTGATTGTCAGTCACTGCTTTTCCTGATCCATAAATGTTGTGCAAAATCAATTGCAAAATTTTCCTAAAATACAGAGCGCACACCTTAGTGACCTTACTCAGACTTGCTTGTTCAGTTTTAAATAGCCTAGGACTCCTACTCCATTACAAAAATTACTACCAAACCTAAACTCTATTTAATATATATCAACTTGCATTTGACATGCAATTCACAAATTCCTTATTTTACCAGGAATATCCAATAGTCAATACCACTTATACCAGTTAGGCCTAGGCCCGCCTGGCGCCTAGCTACAGGCCCCGGTCGGCTCGGGCCCCCCAGTCGGGGCCAGTCCCAGATCATTCCATTGAGGGGGTCACGGGGAGTCGGGGACGGGGTGATGGGGGGGGTGACCATTCCCAAGGGGGTGATATTGCCATCTTTGAGAACCACTGCTTTATAATAATAATAATGATTGTTACTGTTTTTACATTTAGGCCATGGTCAGGAAGATGTGCCAGGTGCGCAGGAATTTATTTTGTCATTTCAACGACCTGCGCAGTGCGCCGTAGGGTAAACGCGGTATATTCCGACACTTTAAGGACGCATCGAGAAATGAAAAACTATAAGAAAAAACGTATGCGTTACGTAAGTTCTGTTGCCTTCACATGACTCTCAAAAACACTTCACTACGCGTCAGCAACGATGAAACGTCACAAAATGTTGCCATATTTATTAAAAAGCCTTTAGAATGGAAACCTACCAAATCCCTATATTCCAGCATTTTGTGTGGCAACATCCGACACTTGGTGAGTCGTATTGCGTCCTGTCTCTTATACACATCTAGATGTGTATAAGAGACAGCTGCTGGAGTACTGGGGCTAAATGCCCAAGGATTTGCTAAAAAAACACCATGTTGGTGACGCTGCATCCACCCTCTGCATAGTGGAACAGAGGTGCATGTGGTTTTAATTTTTCCACTTTGTAGGCTGAGGAGAGTGGGTAGAAAGAAAGGGGCAGTTTGTGAAGTCAAAGTCAGAAGTTAATACGTTTGTTTGACAGTTTGACAAATTGTACACAACATGTTACATGTGCTGATGTGCAGAACATGACTCCAGATCAAATAAATTTTTACAAGCTAAAAATCACCATTTGGTAGCTTATTTGTAGCTAGGAATTTATATTCAAAATTTTGTTCGAATCTGTTCAGTAGTTTAGAAGAAATTCTTTGATCACTATGAATTCTGGCCCATAACAGTGATAACACCATATAACTCCCAAATGAAGGTGAAATTTGAAAAATTTCACAAGCTAAACATTACCGCCATTAGGTCTAATGAGTAATGAATACTTGTTCCAAGTTTCATTGAGCTGCAAAAATTGCTGCATTCATTAGTTTGGGAGTTATTCCTTGGTCACTGAATTTGGAGATTGGCCTTGAGACCAGCTGCAAGACTGGCCACAAGTCCAGCCCTAAATTTGTCCAAGCCATCTAGAATTTCTAGTGCTGACTGCTGGAGTGAAACAGTTAAAACTGTAGAAAAATATATTGGTTTGCTAAATGGGGTTCTATTTGTGAAATTCACATTTGTGTTTAGCCTTTCTTAAAATTGCAGCGTGCTAATTATCAAGAAATAGGCATTTGTTTTTATATGTGTCTGTCGGAGAGGGGTGGGGTGTTTGTCGGAGATTCACTGGGGAGCCAAAGAGGGCACCAGCCTGATAAAGTTTGGGAACCACAGTTATGAAGTATAAAGTGATGTGACTTGCAATTTTTTCAAATTTGTGCAGTGTATAGTATGTAATATGTTGACATTGTTGCATTGTCTAGAATGGAAAATTTAAAAAAAGTATCAAGATTCAGATGTAGAAGCTGAAAAACAGAAAAGGTCTACTTTCTTTATGGTACTTGATTTTACAATGGAGGTTTCTTTTCATGTTATGCAGATGCATATTCTATCAACTACACTCACTAATATACCTAATCAACACTTCTCTGGACTTGCCTGTAAACTTGCCTCAGTTGCCTGCGTACCTACTCACACTCAAAAACTAACTACACACTCAACTCAACCAGTCATAAATCCATCAAAACTGAATGGATCAGCTCAAATTTTGATTTAAAACAATTTAATGTTGAAGCTGTTGGCAATTGTTGTAATTTAAAAAATATATTATGAATTGAAAATTAATAAATGATAAAGGCCAAAAAATATGAAGCTCAATATCTGTTTGAAAATAGTATGATGTAGCTCAATCTGGTGCAATATTTAACAAGCCAATACAAACTTTGTGCATAAGTATAAGGGCTAAAAAAATACTAGACCCGATAAGTTAAGGCAACTATTTCTACTAGACTACCTGAACTCACTACAACAGAAAATTTGGTAAAAGTTAGCTCTAAAGATATTAATGATTTTTTATATAATCTGAAGGCTTCTATTGTTTTGAAATTCCTAATGAAGGTTCATATTATGTTTGTACAACTTTTGGGCAAATTCTTTGTCCTGTCTAAGACTTTGCTTCACACGTAATTCAATCATGATTAAACTTTTTTCTGCCAAGAATAAGGAATTGTTAGCTTATTTTCCTATTGTTTCACTATTATGGAGATATAAATTCTTGATTTTGTAGAACTCTTCTAGTTACATATGCAAATGACAAATTTGAGGAAAGTGTCATATTTTGCAAATGGGGGTTGCGGCCTCCCAATGGGGTAGCTCTGACCACCTAATAGCAGCCGTGACGGGGTAACATTGACTGGCTAGGAAATTAAGTTAAAATTACCATAGGTACCTATATAACATATTTTATGTTTGATACACCCATTAATGTTTTTTCTTTATGTTTCTGACTCTACAGAGTCTTATATGTGGTAATTTTAACTTAATTTCCAAGCCAGTCAATGTTACCCCATCATGGCTGTCATTAGGTAGTCACATTTTGCCCATTGGGTTGCGGCGCCCCCAATTTGCAAACTATGACACTTTCCTAAAATTTGTCATTTGCATATATAACTAGAAAAGTTCTACGGTACTACAATGCACCAAAACCTGGAGTTATTTGGAGTTATTTTACCAAAAAATTAAATTGATTTTACCACCCGGTCAAAGAAACCCCAAGAGCTGGGGTTACAAAGACCATCACTTTTTTTAAATTACATTAAAACTATGAGAGGCAGGAGCGAGCAATATATGGTGTATTTTTGTATTTTGCCCTGTATTTTGCATGTTTCAATTAAGTTTAACTTGTCTAGCAAAAAAATGGCATCATTTTAAAAAAAAAAGTGGTCAAAGTTATCCCATTTTACGGTATTATTCCAGTAGTAGAATATTTAGGACCAATGAAAAATCAATTAAATCTTCAGTTTGCATATTTCATATTAGTACATAAAATGAAATAATAGTACAAGATGAAGCAATCAGAGTTAATGTGTCAAGGTATGTGATTTTAACCATATTTGTGAAGTACTGAAAATTTTGAATTGGGTAGGAAAGAATTATAATAATATTTAATTTTATTTCAGGTTTAGTTTTAAACAATCCTGATTCAATATCTTGATGATCATTATGGCTGAAGCTAACTTTTCTTCCACAAAAGTCCATGAAAGTGGAAGCTTTACTAGTTCAGTGAAAGTACATATTAATCCTCACTTCATGGCTGCTTCTGCTTCACAAATCCCATCCATGCTTCATTTTGCTGCTGAATCTGACTGCGCTCTTAGCAATAAACCTGCTGAAAACCAAAAACCTCTGATCCTGCAGAACAGTGCTGCACTAGAAACTGGCACAAATGTTGTTGAACAATCTGGTTCAACGTCCATGACCAATTACTCTGAAACTCATATGAATCATGTTGGATATATCCCAGTAAATGGTGCTCCTCCCAAGACCCACAATGCAGTGGCTACTTCCTTCACTGCTGGGATGTGTGCTGAGAACGCCAATGCTGTGTTAGGTAACCCTTACACATATTACGATAGCACTCAGTGCCAATATGCTGATAAAAAAGATCCATTTGGTCCTAGACTTGCAATTTCAACCTCACCTTTGGTTTACTGCTCCAAATCACTTGAGAAATATCCACAAATTGTGCTTCCAAATGCAAGACCAATAGAAAATTTAGGTGCCTGGGCTTTGAGTTCTCAGGATCTTCATACTTCCACTGAATTTAAACATTCCTCAACTATAAAAGACGTTTCTATGAACAAAAAGGGAGGTTCATTCTATGTAAACCCAAATTTTGTCCCCAAGGCACATAACTCAGCAAATGACACAAGAAATGACTCAACTCTTAAATCAAGTAATGAGACAGTCATAAATGTTGACAAGTCTCTTCCTGTGGTTGTAACACAACAAGGTGCTGGTATTGCTCATCCTTTCAGCAAACACCATCTTCATGATTCAATCAATTCATGTGCTTCATTAGGAGATGGAATTATGCCTATGAAAAGTTGCACTCAACGGAAAAGAAAAGTTTTGGTAAACCCAAAGTTTTATGATGCTAAGAAATTAAAACAGCCTGTCAAAGAAGTGACTAATTTAAATATGCCTCCTCAACTTAAATCTTGGGATGAGGACAATGGTATGAAAGTTGTGAATTGCACAGAAAATACTTTTTCCACTGTCAGTAAAATTGGTTCCTCACCTGCTTCAAAGAATGACTGCCAAATAACAACTGACAGAACTGTGATGGAATCCAATATGACCCGGGAAAATGCTTCAATTCTGAAGCCTAAAAATACCTCAAGAAATGATGGCCCTGCAGCTCAATTTTTTGTAAATACCAAGAACAAACTTGTCAGAAATGCTCACAGCGTGTCAGCTACACATTTTGGTTCCAGTTCTACTTCAAGTGCTTCAGTCCAAATTTCTTGCAATAAGAAGAAAGATACATACTCATTAATTGACAAAGCAAAGCTGTTTAGTGTGTCAAGAACTAAACTTACCCAAAAAAACTTGGCTTCAGGAGCAGTTTCTCAATCATCCTCAAGAACTTATCAGAGCTCTTCATCATCGAATGAATTAAACTGCTGCAAAAAAATGTTTCCAGGAGTGGCTCCAGAACTCAGCCTATCTACGGTCCCTAACTCCATGATCAATCTCAGATCCAAGTACAAGCTTATACGCAAATCCGTGGTTGCCCCTCGCAATGTTCCTCAACATTTCTGCAGGGTCAATAGCTCATTTCATCATGGGGATTATTCGTTGAACTGTGCTCGAAAATTAGTAAGACGGAGCATCGATGTTGGCGTTAGAAAATATGGAAACGGCAGCAGATATCAAGGGAGCTTAACACAAAATCCACACCGATATTTACCTGTTGACAAATCAAAAAATATGAGCAAGAAAAGCGATCGTTTCATTAGAATTGGAGAGTCCATGTACAAGTCGACATCCACATCGTTGAAGAAACAAGTGGTCAATATAAATCACAGTGCTGCAGGTAATATTTTCATTGCATGTTATATCATAATGAAGTGCTGTCATCACTGAGCAGCTCTTGTGCTACGAAATAATTATATAATGAATGAGGTTATATATGTATTCAAGACAATTGGTTTCTTCCTTTAAGATACCTTCAGTGATGTTGATGTAAAACTTTTTTTATAATTTTCTCAACATTATTGCCAGTTTATTTACAATTTTTTTACAAGCAATTTGCTCAGTGTAATCATTAGTGTAGATGTATTTCTATTCTAATACAATTTTTTCAGGTAAAACTGGAGTAGTGAAGACATTACAAGCCTCTAAAAGTGACTCCAGTCGTCCCAACTTGCCCCAGCTACCTGGTGCAGGGCAGCCAGCATGCAGATCTTATCTCAACAACAGATTTGGCCAATCTGCTTATACTGTTGTCAATGCCAGCAGATATTTGAACAGGTCCTTTTATTCTATGAGACGACCTTTCAATCCCTCTATTGCTAATAGGAATGCACTGAAGAAAACCAATTTCATACCAAAAACTAGAAACAATGTTTTGGGAACAGACCAATTCAGAAGATCATCAGCGCAGCGTTCCTTGACAAGCGAGGACAAGCAGGAGCAGGCGCTGGCCGCGCACGCCCTCAAGGCGCTGGCTCTGCAGCGTCACATCACGTGAGTTACATCTCTACAAATCTAAAGTTGATCTATTCAAGCAAATGAATTTGTTGTATATAAATAAATCTTATATAAATTTACCTTTGATTTATATAAAATCTTGTATAAATTTATAATTAAAATAAATAAATCAGTATATAAATTTATCTTATTGATGTCATATATATATTCATATGCTTTATTACGCTATTGATTAATTTCAATTAACAAATCTGTAGTGTTAATTATTAGTTAATCCACACTCATGTGTGAAAAGTCCAAACTTGTCGATAATGTTTTCCTTTGCACTCAGGGCGGCCAAACGACGCAGCGTCCTTGTACTGCGACGTCGAGTTCTTGCATTGAGTTCTTCATCTCCTTTGCAAGCAAAGAGAACAGAAGCTTCTTGTACTAATTTAGATACCACTGTAACGCCTTCCAATCCTAGTTCAAGCTCTACATCCTCAACATCCTCGAGTGGCAGCAAGAAGTCACCAGGAGCCGTGACATACTGCCGCTACTACCATCGCTATGGCCGGTGTTTCCGTGACAAGGCCTGTCCCTACGCACACAATCCGAGCAGAGTCGCTATATGCACGCGGTACGTGGTTACATCCCTCACTTTGTCACTTATTCTCTTTCTTTCTCACCTACAGTAATTGTATTTGTGTATTGGTAAGCTGGTTGTATGAATCGCTTAAGCGATTTACAATTTATTTACAATTTATGCACTCGGTATGTTGTTTATTGACATCCTTCACTTTGTCACTTATTCCCTTTCTTTCTCACCTTTAGTAATTGTATTTCTTGTATTGGTAAGCTGGTTCTATGAAAATGACTGTGTATTATAAACAAAGTCGTGTCAAGAGAATCCATTAATTTCATTCTATCCTCAATAGCATTATTTACTCATTATTTTTTGTTTAAATCCATCCATCTATTGCCTTAGTGTGTAAGGTACCTATATATACAGTACATATATTCAACTGATCGAATAATTATCAGAAACAGTATTGCTGTAGAATGAATTCGAGAGAATTTTTTACTACAAAAAATTTATTCAAATTTACATTTTGAGAAACAATTGTGTGGACTTGAAGGAATTAATAAAAGTTTAAAACAATTTTAGGGAATTGTCATGATTTCAATTAAAAGTAGTTATCAGATTCAAATATATTTAATTGATCAATTTCAAATTAATCTAACTTACTGTACTTATCAAGTTTTAAACCATTTTCATGCGTCCCTAAGGACAAAGATGATAGTCGAGAGAAACATCTAATCATTTCATTCATTATCATTTCACCTTCATATGCAGGTCAGACCGTCTCTAGATTTGGGTGTCATATGCCATTTTCTTGCGTCCTATGGCATCTTTTTTTATCGTATCACTCGTCATATGTCTCATTCTTGTGGCATATTACGCGTCATATTATTGTTTTTTACCGTACCTCTAGAGTTTGAAGCTCTTAGTCTCTATTTCTTGAATGCTTGGTTACCTGGAATGTTTTTTATTCTGTCAGACCATTCCATTTAGATTAATGTCGTAAATCTATTGGATAATAAAGTTTAATTTTGGTTAACTACCGTACTTACTCTTTCAATTTTTGGGCATTTTAACTTATAGACTACGTAAAGGTAATTGAGATCATGCAGTAAAATATCCAACAATTTTGATGTGTAATAGATGTGATGTGTCTTCAATCATTCTCTAAAGTTTATTATTTTGAAACCATTAATGCATTTCTTAAAATTCGTAAGTGTGTTGGAAGCCTGGGTCCATACTTTCAAAACTCGCTAAGTTAACGTAAGTACTTACGCTCTATTTTCTTGTCTATGATTGGTGGATTTTGCTTGAAAGACCGTCAATGATTGGCTGATGAACTTACGATCTCTTAACTTCTTTTGAAAGTATGGGCCCTGGCAATGAAAATACCGATGCGTATCCACAATACGAATCTCTGTGATTATACCTAATCTATTCCGACCAACACCGAGTCAGCATGGTAATCTAATATATTTCTTAGAAGGTTTATGTCCATGGGTGTTTGAAAGCAAACCTCGGAAGTTTATGGGCTCTTTTTTCTCTAACCGACATACTTACCGTAATGACATAGTACTAGTTGGATCAGAATTATCATTTCAATAACACTGATCTCACGAGGGATTGCAGTTAAGTGGGATGCATGCTGGTTAGTTAGATCGGCAATTTGTTCCTTGAAAAGTACGCGGGTATCTCTCGAAATTAAAAACTGTTTTTAATGGAGCTTTTAAAAAAAGTAAAAATGGAAATGGAACTATTAAACGATTTATTTGATTAAATTTATTAATTTCAAATACCGGGGACAATTTTACAACGGGATCCTTAGCCTCAAAGCTAATTATCAATCCATATCAATGCCGGGTTAATGTGCTAGGGTAATCAAGTTGTTGAACTAAAATAACACCAATTCAAACTAGTCTAAATCTATTGAACTACAACAGCACCAACTAACAATTAAAGTAATCACCCAACGATGTTCATGACACCTCAATGTTTCAGTGCAAGCTACAGCACCTGCTGGAGTGCGCTGAGTACAAAGCTACGGGCCGCTGCCCGCGGGTCGCCTGCCCCTTGCCGCACCCCAAACACCGACGCCCCAACACAGGCCCCAACACAGGGCGTGTACGACCGCCCGTCAACCGCCGCCGACGGCTCTCAAGTACGGCCAGTACGGACGACCGACGGTACGTTTTGGGAGCCGTGGGTTCCTCTCAAACTTCCCCTAATGACTCCAAGATGAAGAAGAAAAAGAAGAAAGGAGCTGTTAAGACCACTGAACACTCGAGGTACTTCAACAGCGATCGCATAGCAAGTGACGTAGCTGCGAAATCTTTGTCTCAGATTCCAGGAGAGGTTGACAGTTTGTTGGACAAAAAACTTCGCGTAATGAAACTCGTCGAGAAGATGCAGTCGCGTACCCAGGAAATGCGTGCAAGTTCTGGTAACTCGTCCGCTACGACGAGCGGCGTTACCGTGAGTACCGAAGCTCTCAACGCAGGTAAGTACAAATTAGTGGATGATAGTGAAGTAGTCTTTGTCGCACCTTTGTGTAGCTTTACTTTAGATGATGAGGTCCCAAGTTTCATCCCGCTCTCTGATGACCAGTGAGATATAACTCTTGGTAGCTCAACGACATCACAGATATTTATATGTAGACCTAAATATGTCTATGAATCGAGTTCCGTCACTATTCCTGCACATTAGTTATTGATTGGTTTTTTAGATATGATAGGCTTTTTGTGATGACTTTTTAAGAGACCACTGAAATTATTTTATAGGATTTCGTCAGCCCCAAGATAATCACTTATCTATAATTTTGAATTTGAATTTGAGTTCCTACAAATGCTCAATAAGTCATTATTGCGTAAACGATGGCGTGGAGTATGAATAGTCTGCACAGCTGCTGCATGTGCTGGGGCAGCACGTTGCTCCTGCCGTGAAGTTTGTTAGGTTCTCAGTTGACTATGTAATGACGGCTAAACATTAAGGACGTTTATTAAGTCAATAAACGAGGTTTAAATTACGGCAAAGTAGGATAAGATTCTCATAAACAGCTTTTACCAAAATATAGAAAAAGTTCATTTAATCCATAAAAGTTTCTATGTACAAATGGATTCTGAAATAATATAGTTAAATATCCTAGACACTATGGTCCGCCTGACTGGCAGCATTTTACCGAGAAAAATAAATGTTACTTTCTTCCTTTGTCTAACTAGTTTTACTTTATATTGTGATTATCTCGATGAAACTATTACCATTGGAAGCCATGAGTAATTATCCACTGAGTCTTCATATATTTATTTTTTGCACGCTAGATTTCATGCTGATACTGGAAGTGATCATAATCTTATCGGAAGGATTCAAATCAAATGCAAATAATTAGCATTATGTCGCGACTCGCTAGTGATTATATCATTTAGTAAAATTTTATCAGTTGAAGCTTCTCAAGAATGACATCTTCAGTTCGTAAATTTAACAGTACCAGCTTTTTCAAGTAAATGAAGAACTCGAAATGATTTTCATTGTGTTCTATTGCTCAATCATCCAAGTCACTGCTTATTATTTTGTTACCTTCACTTGAGTTAAACTCGATTGTTGTTGCCTTTGGAGTTCACATGAGTTGTTGTTTTGTATTTTAATGAGGACAACCGTGTTCATAAATGTAGTCGATTTTTTGGGCCAATCATTTTCTTTTTTCCTTTTTTATTATTAGCTTAGTCTCCGAAACACATTTTAGGTATAAGACTCAAAAAATATAACTCGGTACTTACTGCAGTGAGTGACAGAGACCGCATTTTCTCGTCGACGAAAACGTGAAGTCACGGACGGACAGACAAACCGACAGACATGGCGAGCACAATAGCGCCTTTTTTCCATTTAAAATGAGAAAATGTGCTAAAAATAGTTCGTTTAGTTGAACAAAAATTAGTTCTTTTATTCTATGGGACACGTGATTTTTGAGAATGTTACAGCTTATGGTTCGATTCAGTTTTAAATTCATGATTCTGTTTCTAATGAGTCGTATTATTTGGGAAGGAGAGGGTGGTGTCTAAATGCGTTTATTCTGTCGTGACCACGCCTCAACTCCATGGCAATTATGGCTTGCCTGGCGAGTACAAAGTAAACGGCTTCATTTATACCTCGTGGACCTTGTGCTGAAATCTATCTGTAAATAATACAAATGAGTGCCAAAATGAGGTCTACACCAGTGATATAAAGTTAAGTGATGGACTTCAGTTAATTTATTAAATATTTAACCGTCCGTGTATATTGAGGTCTAAGTATATTCTCCTATTAATCGAGAGTTTTATTTCATCTATCCATACTAGCGTACTGATGCGCTACCCTGAACTCGGAGTGCAAGCCTCGAGTGACTGTGATAATGAGAACCATGCATTACGTGCAGCAACAGTTAGGTTCCCATAAGTGATTCATTGGATCACTTACATGCGTCAGGGAAAATAGCTTACAACTTGTGCTTATAGTATAGAATCTTCGGCATTGAAGAATAGGCCTGCAGTTTCATATCATTCACTATGTTTGAAAAAGACGGAATGGAGTAATTGTTGATAATTAAATTTATCAAATTGATGCATAGAATGTTCATGTAGCTAATCTAATCCCCCAGCTAATCTGGCGATATCTTTAGTCCGGTCATTGTATGACATCGTCTTGTTTAATTTTTATTCGCATATGAATTGGCTAGTTGTCAACGAAAGTTTTGTATACTCTATTGTAGTTTTATGCAACATTCCGAAACAATACACTGCTACATGCGAAATACTTGACGGCTGCATTAAGGAAATAAATTCAAATGGAATTTTGTCTGAACTTTACACACACACAAAAAGATGAATAGCGATTAATACGTACAGAGAAGGCGAACAATGATGTACAATCTGCAATCTTAATGACTTGCATCGTATCGATTAGTTATTTTATGAAATGATGATCAATTGCAACGACGTTTTCCGTTAGTGGTGAGGTTTAGTTTAGTAACTGAGGCAAGTACATTGCCCCAGAATTTTCAATCGCTGCTTGCTCTTGTTTCTCTATCTCGTAGCTCCGTGTTGACTTTGTGCAATTGTCTGCTCCCAGTTATAAAAAAGATGGCAGAGAAAGGCACATTTATCAATGATGTGAGTAAGGGAAGCAAGTCCCATAAGTAGAGCCACAAGAAGGTCTGAACGCACTCTGCCAGAAGGTAGAGCAGCGCCGCGCCAAACCAAACTCGGGAGGTAGACGCGCTCCTCTGCGAGAACACGTTCTGCTAACAAAGATGTTGTTAGTATAATAATATCATATAATATCAGTTTGATATCCGAGAACACGTTCTGCTAACAAAGAAATTATTAGTATAATAAATAGAAATAATATCAGTTTCATATCCCAGGTGCCTCTATAAAAACGACGCTACCGTCGAGCAAAAAGAAGTATATATATGGACGGAGTTACTCTGCATTTCTATGAAAATGTTAAATACGTTGGAATAGAAGAATTCAAAACAAATATTCAAGAGAATATAATTAATAGAAAATGCAACTTCACATAAGACGAAGCTGAAATAGATGGATTATTCATCTTTACATTCTAGTTGTTATATTTCTAAATTTAAAATATTCAGTGTAACTATTGCTTTATGGTGGAATTTACGTCCAAAAAAATGTTGCATCATTGCTGTTTAAAAAGTTATGGCACTTCCCGATGATACTCCAACATAAATACTATGGCTTGGCTTCCCCAAACTTTTTGCGACCATGCAGGAACCATTTGCGGGTTTGATACAGACACCGCGTACAACCCGGTACCTGCCGTGTACCACGGTCTACCACCAATACTACATATTAACCGTAAATGCGTATCATTCGTCGCTAATTAATTTATTTAATTAATCATGAACGCATTCAATGAATGAACTGTTTGAATTTAACAGTGGACCGCTGTGATCAAGGTAATAGCATGTGGCAACTTTTAAATCGTTGGCACATTGGCCCGTATGCTAAATGGGGCACTAGCACTACGAAGTAGCACTACGCACTACAAGCCGTAGTGCGGTACTAGTGCGACATGGAACACTACGGTTGGCATGCTAAATAGGGCACTAGCACTTTGAAGTAGCACTACGCACTACAAGCCATAGTGCGGCATGGAACACTACGGTTGGTATGCTAAATAGGGCACTAGCACTTTGAAGTAGCACTACGCACTACAAGCCATAGTGCGGCATGGAACACTACGGTTGGTATGCTAAATAGGGCCATAAGCATAACGCGCACTACAAAAATCTGAAGTGTCCTACACACCGCACTTCACGACGACACTACGGTATATTTAACCTTGTTTACTTCGTCAGCTATGGATCTGTTTGGCTTACAGCAAAGGCATCATCGCGTAAAAACCTCAGGAACTACATGCCATGAATATGAAAAAGTGTACCACTTCAGTGAACAACATGTTATTCTTATGGCTGACATTTTCCTTGGCGAAACAGATGAACAGCGTAGAAGTAAAAAATACTTTTCTTTTTTTTTTGAGACCATGTTTCGAATTTTATTTTTATTATTTTATCTGGAGTCATTTTTAATTCTTCTGCAAGAACTTTCCATGCTTCTCTCTTTTGTTCGATGTCTTTGGTGAGCGTGGACTTTGAATATATGATGGGAAAGGTGCGCAGACGCATTGCGAATTTCAGCTCACCATCACAATTTTCATTAGTACCATTACCATCACAATTAAACATTTTACATCAATCTTCTGCAAAGAATAAGAATTACTTAGGGAATAATTAATTATTTGAGCACTTAACTACCATTCCTCAATAGACTCATAGCGTAGTGCGGCACTATAAAGTACTCTAACAGCGAAGTAGCACTTCAAAATCTTTCTGCATACGAATCAGTAGTGCGACACTAAGCGACACTAAACATTGTGGAGCTACTTCGAAGTGCTTAGTGTCTGTGACGTATTTAGCATACCAACAGGACACGTCGTAGTGCATAGTGCTACTTCGTAGTGCTAGTGCCCTATTTTGTAGTGCTAGTGCATACTGGCCATTATCTTGCCTTATTTGTCAGTAATTTTTTTTAATGCTTGATTAAAAGTCATTCCTCACCGTAAAATGCTAGCATACTACTTGGATTGTCTTCGCGTACCATAATTTTGTCACCTCCCTCATGTCTGTTGCTATTACATAATAATAATAGTAATTGAAAATACACTAGAAAGTCAGTAGATTATTAGAAATAAAATGATATAACAGACACTCGTTGATGTCATTCCTATTTTAATCGTCTGTAAACAAATGATCTAGTAAATACAGGGTTTTTGTCTGTTATTCTCACCTGCCGCAACATGAAGATGAGTCTGCAGTTGTGCCAGATGTAGACGAAGTTTAGACATCCAAGTAATGTAAAGATCCAAATGTCTGCAATGCAAATAATTGATATCAGATTTAATTTCTGGTATTATACCAGGAATATTTCAATGTGGAAATTTTCTTACTGTTATAACATGGAATCAATAAACGCATTGTCTCAAGTTGTGATGGTCGCAAATAAGTGATTTAACTTCTGGTATTATTCCAGATAAATATTTCAGTGTGGATATTTCTAGCTTTTGCAAACTTAGGTTAAAGTTATAACATGGAATCAATAAACGAATTCTCAAGTTGTGATGATCTTACAGTCGATGGCGGCAGCCTTGCAGGAGTATCGCAAATACAGGGCGTACGGCGCGAGCTGCAGCACGGCCAGCACCTGCACGGTTGACACTTCCCGTCAGTAGTGTGCAAAAATAAGTGACAGGGATCAGGATGGTGAGGTGCATTTGACACTTCAAGTCTTCAACCCAACTATGAAAAAGTGAAAATATATATTGAGAGACTCTTTGTCCAAATAGCGATGCACTTCTCCCCCTCGTGTGGACAATCTTGACCCGGTTTTGCTCAGGAAAAGGACGTATCAGTGCTACATGTAAAATTCTTTATTCGGACAATATAACCCAATTTATTTTCTGAATGTATAGCGATGTTCCAATCAATCCGGTAATTTTTTCTTTAACATTTTTTATGCAATGCGTATTTTTAGCCACCGTGTATTTCTACGACTGAGTTTTATGACGGAATCTACCGTGTTTTAACTATGGCTGGCATCATGGCTGAACTATATAAGGTTGTCCCGCGAGGATATACATCTTTCATTTCAGCTTGCTTGTTACGTCACTGAGATCGAGAAACGTAAATAATCCAGTCATTCCCACAACAGATTGCTTTACTAGTTTGATCGCATTTCGGTGAGTGGTTAAGGTGCCTGTACACAGGGATAGTACTAGCCGCTAGTTCATCCGCCGCTTGAACTGTCCACAATACTAGCCTCGTGTATAGGGGTTCAGCCGCTTCAGAGGCATGCGCCGGCAAGTGCCCGAGTCGTGGCCGCGAGCGACAACGATGTGTTGATTTGTGCGCTGGAGAAGTGGCTAGTAGCGCTGATGCAGCCATGGTGAGAGCATTTGTGCCGCTCTTGCGAATTATCTTGGGTCAAGTGAATCATGGCTTGTTCGAACGATAATGGTTCTAAGAAGAACCCAACAAAGTGGATTCCAGACGATAATCAAATTATTCTTTGAAATATTCCAAAAATATGAATTAAAGTGGAATGTTTGCCATGATGGTTACTCCAACAAAATGAAGAGAGAAACGAGTATTTTGAATCTGAAAGAAGATCTTATTAGTCAGTGTTTAGTTGTTCCCAACGTTGCATTTTTAAGATCTAGAAAAAAGAGTATAAAAATGACGTACAGACTAGAGTTGTTGGAGGTGATCCCACTCTCCATCTTCGCAGACCTCACTCGACGGCTTCTAACGACTCACTGGCGGGCGTGCACGAAAAGATAGCGGCACCTTATACTCTCCTCGTGTGTACAGGCTTACTTGCCGGATAGTCACCAAGCGGTTGACACTTGCCAGATTTACTAGCCGTCTGCACTATCCCCTTGTACAAGCACCTATAATGACTGTGACGTCACTGAGATCAGTGACGTCACAGGCGAACAACAAACTACATCCACAAAAATGAGCTTCTCATGGGTCAACCTTATACTAGTTCAACCATGGCTGGCCCTGTCTCTCAAAATCTTAATCGCCACGAAGTAACAGGCAAGAAAATTTTTGAAAGTAAAAGAATGTATTTTGGAAATTTTGTCACGGACAGTTTCGATGAATATTCTCTTTGTTATCAAGCTAATGATAAAAATTAACGCGAACATTTGATTCTACGTAAATTTATAAATCAAATTGTTAATAAAATCAAATAGGGATAAATTCCTTAATTTCAATCTTCATTATGTTGATGAATTGCTTAATGTAATTGTGAGCCACAAATGTTATGATTTTTTTTCCTTTTGTCGGCAAAAGGTGTTTTGTGTGGCTAATAAAAGGTTTTGTTGTTACCGAACAATTCTTAAGCTATGGCCATCGTGACTAACTCATCACGGAGACACAAAAACAAAAACTAATTAATTATGTTTTAATCAGTTTGGGATGCAGAATAATTCAGTACCAAACTCATGTTCAAAATCTACATTTGTATCATTTTTATTACAACACTTCTATTTAACTTCACTTCTTGTTGTTTGTTTATCTGCAGCAAATCTTATAATCGATATTTAACACACTTCTACATGTCCAATCGATCTGAAAATTTGCACACTTGCGTATGGTCGGAGACAATGCTTGAATTAATTGACAGAATAAATTATTTTAAAAATGCAAAAAAGTTAATATTAAAAAAATTAGAAATAATTTATCGATATTTAAATTTAAAATGAGAAATTCATTGTATATGTGTAACTTCGGAGACACTGGCCTATTTGGAAGTGTTTTCTTTAAAAAATAATTTTTAATCTAATATTATTCTTGATGTTGTCAATATTGTGCTTGGACGTGGCACTGAAAATTCCAAAATTAATTCCATATAATTCAAAATATAAATGAACGAAATTTAATGCTTTCCACCAATCTCACTTCCTATTGTTCAGTGGATAGTTCACATGCTTTTAAATTCAAAGAATTGCATACACTACAGTAAAACTGAGGGTTTTGTGCACCGTTGGACTTGAAAATAGTTCGGCAAATAAGATGTCGCAGAAAAATCGTTGACGTGTGAGACAATAATATGGACAAGCATCCGTCACCACAACTACAAGCCATGGTTCATGAGTTCACTCCTCCCAGAGCAACACGTTGCTGAGATATCCATCAGCAGTTGGCATGCCAGCTATCAGTAATGGATGTCATATTCACGTACAACGAAATGTCTAGGTCTCAGCGTTTCTTATCACATGTTTAAAATTTTTAGTGGTAGACTGACCCTAACTGAGTTCAACTGCCCTCCTCCATATTTTTCAAGTTCATTAACTCGCCGAGTCTAACCGTGGGGATCGAATAATATTGTTTTCACCTGGGCCAAAGTATTGTCTTGGTCTTGATCATCACACGATTTCTACGACTGACTAAAGAATTTACATTTGCTGATGTAATGGCAAACTTGCGTTTATGTTTCAAATAACTTATTCAATGCACCAAAGAAGTTAGCATTGACTGATTTTGCTTCTCTAGAATATTGAACTGTGGAATTGCCTAACATTCTGGTAATATAGTTAATTTTTGATGTTGAGTAACAATCAGAATTCTTAACGGCTTGAAACTATATTATACATTAAATTAAGAACGTTCGCACGTGTACCGCCAGATTATGATGCGATTGCCCTAAATGTTTACTCTATGAGCCCTAAAATGTTTACATATATTTTCGCCATGCAATAACGTGCCCGTAATTACATACGACATTGTTACAACCGTCAATTGTCGCGCCTATTTCATCTGGACTTATTCATTCAACCTGAAATATTACAATAACATAAAAAATAAATTTATTTTCATACCTACATGCAAACGTTTCCACACTAAAAAAATTTTGCCCAAATAGTGACACACTTGCTGTGTGCAGCACTGATACGTCATTTTTTACCAAACTGGATCAAGATCTCGCTTCTCGCATCGAATCACCGACATGTGGAACAGCCTCCCCGATGACATCGTTGGCGCTCGAAGTATGAACGCGTTCAAGAACAGACTAGATAAAGCTATGGAAAAATATATGTTCAGATTTGAAATGCCTAGCTCCTTATCGAACCCGGTGGAAGTCTTAGTAGCTACTTCAAACTATCGCCAGTCATGAAAAGATCCGGTCAAATGACACGAGTTTTGTTAATGTTAATTTGTTAATGAGTATTTTTTTATTTTGCGTCAATGCTAATTTATAGAGCTTTTCTGTTTTCAATTTACTCAATTGATTCTTTGTTGACATTAATTATAATCAGAGCTCAAGTCAAGGCTTACATTCAGGATTGTTTCTTGGTGAGATATATTGGCTTTAAAATAATTCATTTGAGATATGATTACTAGGCTACATCAAACAATAAAAAATATATATATATATATATGTCGGTGAAGTGAGATTGTGCTTCAGAATGGCTATTTCTGCTGCAACTCCAATTAACTAATAAATATTTAATTTGGGCTGTTTTGGCTTTTTTGTGAGAGAAGTAGGCCGTTTTTTGGCGAAGATTCGAGAGCCGCGAAAGGCTTATTTTGCTGCCCACTTCTGAGCTTTACAAGGAAGTCGAACTCACTATTTCTCTCGCTCTGCTTAGCAAGGCCGACAGCTTATGTTCTATGAATTCTATATTTTTCGAAATATGATCAGTCTGGTTGAAAAGGGATAGAATCTCATCCTGAATATGTACAACTATTTCTGACATACGTTGTGTGTTACTCAAGCCCTCAGAATCACCAGCTGCGTGAATTTCCGTAACACTTTCGTTATGACCAGCAAGTGTCAATGGAGGAAAGGCGCTTCGGGACGAGGCTGACGACTTTGGCCGCACTATTGAAACTTTCGTTTCATTTTCAACTTCAACATTGTTCCTAATATTCAAATCTTTCTTCGGTACGTTGANTTTCAATTCGTACGCGTCTGAACAAAAGTTTTATTATAAGTTAAATTTGTGTTGTGATACGCATGGCCTTGTTGTCACAAATGGCGTGAAGTTTCGTACAAGCACGATAGTTAATTTCTAATTTACACAGTAAAAGCATAAATCAGACTATAGGTTATAAATTGTTTTGCCTGGATTAAAGATTTAATTCATTTCACGAAAAGTATCGAGGATATCAATAAAAGAAAACACAACACCTGAAGTCCTTAACATGTGAGATAATTTAGGCTAGGCTTCAAACTTGATTTTGTCAATACTGTTGTCTTTGAATTTTAATTTAAATCTAAAATAAGAGCATCGTCGCGCTTTCAGGTGGAAAGCGTTTTGTGTAAGTCAAGAAACAACTCAGTCTGAAATAACATAATAAGCCTTCTAACAAGAATGTCTTCCCAAATCAAAGCGTCCCACGTTAACATATTGATCAGAAACCTTAAATGAACAATATTTGAAACGTAAACTGCTTGCTGCGCTATAAAGGAGCTCTGAAAAATATTACTAAAACATACGCTACACTTCTAGATTTTAAAGGATAGAATATATTATTATTTATACATAATAGATTCTAACCTCGTTATTCTCGCCGTGACTGATGGACGAGAGAGGAGCTGAAGATGGCAGCGCCGTGACAGACGCGGTCAGCAGCAGCGTGGCGGCCAGCGCCGAGTGCCACCACGAGTCCTGAGCGCCATATAATATATAGGGTAGGCTATAATAATACGGCGTGTGTGATGTTAATAATAAGTTTAGTGCGTTTCCACTGCAACGCATTTTCATCTAAACAAAATCAGCGAAAGAAGAAGCCTGCCTGAAGTAGTACTGCAGTTTTCATAGCGCTTGAGGAGTTGCAAGAATTCCTGAGCAACCAGGTTATCTGTGCGATCTAAATAAACAGCAGATGATAGCAAAACTAATTTTAATCCAACTTTCGATACTGGTGGAATTTTGCTTGAGCACGGAGAGAGATCCAGCTAAGATACATCACGGCTACGCGAAGCCAGTGCATTAGCACAAAGAATTGAGTTAAGTGCATTGTTGAAAACCCTGATCTAGCATCTCGAAATATTTGAGCTAATTTAGCTGATAAGATCAAACCCGATCTTGTCGTCATACAGCGCACTTGCCATCGTGAACAAACTGTGACATAATAGGGCGGGATATTTCCGTGCTCTGGCGTCAATAACCCTCTGAACTCAAATACCCCAGCGAAAAGCAGTGTGAATATTGTACAAAAAGCTAGTCGCTTGGACTATTTCTTATGCTACGGCGAAGAGGGCTCCCGAATATCTTCTTGAACCGGCCAAGTGGGAGAACTTATCCTCTGAAACAGGCGATCAGGTGAACCGTATTTTTAAATTATAGGATGATTGAAATTGTCAGGTTAGCCAGCTCTCACACGTTCTTTTTAAACAAATTCGTCCCTCGCAAACCACGTGTATGATTTATAAATTTAATATTGGTCTGTTTCTTTTTATGGTTATCGGTTTCTTAAGCGAAATTCCAGTTACGCATCCGTGTTCCGTGCTAATGAGCGGATAGGCTCCAAGTGAACTCAGACGCAAATCATTAAGTTACCCAGTTTTGAAATTTATACAACGTCCCATGAACATTTCTACTTTGCTGTAGAATTTGGAGTACAACATTTTTAATTAACGGTTGTCGGTGTTACTGCACGATCCTCAATAGGGTTATGGAACTGAACAGGAAGGATATTTCCCAGGATCTCCACGTACAATGGATGTCCGGTTGCGCGATTTATCCATTGATTAAATTTGGCCTTTGTAGGCACAATAGGAACTACCGGAAACGTCGTGAGTAATCAAAGCAATCATGTATATTTGTCTGTGTGAGTATGATTAATCATGATATGATTATCCTGCAGCTCTAGTCTAGGCATCCATTTGTATGATTTTGAAGTCCTAATAAAGCTAATAGAACCTACATTACAAGTTAATAATGAATTTAAAAGCAAACAAGCTTCAAGTAGATTCACAATACACAGTTTTCCATCGTGTACACCGGCTTCATCATCCGTAAACAATAATTTTAAAACATAATTTATCGAGAATCTAATCTTCCTTCTAGTAAAGTAAAGTAATAGTTACGAGGGTTAGCATGTTGAATTTGTCCAATACAGCTTTTTGTGAGGTTCGCTCCAACTGTCAATCGTGTACTCACCCAGCGTCGTCTCCCACCGTTGTGACAACCTGGCATCAGGAATATGAGTAAAAAAAATTCTCTATCACGGTGAGCAAAAACAGCTTCCCACTCTTCACCTGGTAATGTCAAGAACCGAAATTAAAAGGAACGTCCCGCACATGGTCAGTAGAAACTTGCACGCTGTAATGTAGCCTAAATGCTGAGAGCCTTTGCACACACAAGCTTACAAGCTGAGGTCTTCATTTCATGCTTGATTTGGTCTTCCTGGTCAGCATGCATGCCCGCAGTTTATTCTTTTCCTTACCAGTAATTTTTAAAAGGCCTAAATGTTACTTTCATTTGATACAGCCGCAATCACCATTTCACTCGCAATCAGAGGCATCAGTTGAATAAATTCGTCAAAACAAGTTCAAATTTTCAAACAAATGCATTTCATTATTGACTTTTTATCAGTTTAGAAATTCCCGATTCTACCAGTTTTGCAATTTCAAGGAAGAAATGTAGAGTTGAGTTATATTATACTTAAAAAGTTGAAACTATATATTGAGGATATTCTTATATGACACCCATCATTAATTTGCACTATCATTCGAGCTGTAATGTTCCATTAGAGGTGTTATTGATTGTAGTACCAAATTAAAAAATGCAATCTATTATTTCTAAAAAGAATAACACCTCCCATCACTGCACTTGCTGAAAGATAGTAGTTAAACTACCATGAAATCAAGTGCAAATGGATGAGCACTATCATTTTTAAGTTTATGCATATCTAAGACTCTTAATAAGCTGTAATGTCTAACTTCATATGAACAAGTCTGTGTAGCACAGCATTTTGAGCCACCATTCCAGAAGCAGCAAATAACCATTACTAAAGATCTTGCACCTGTTCTTAAAATCAAACTGATGATCATTGCCTCCAAAGGATTTTTATGAGTATATTTACACAGTTTTAAAATGAGTTTCTTATTTACAATTTAAGACACCAGAAGTATTAATCTGATCATCATCTGCTCACCGTGATGCACATAAGTGTCAAGTATAATGACATTGTAGCAGGGTTGGCGATTTTTTTGATTTTTTTAAAAAAATCAAAAAAATCAAAAATCAATGATTTTTTCATGATNGTGGCTGAGTTACCGCTGCCCAGGCGACCGTAGCCGCTCTTGATGCCGTCCCAGCCTTCCTCTGTGCCTAGCTCACCGGCCTTTACCTGGGGGCATCAGGAATATGAGTAAAAAAAATTCTCTATCACGGTGAGCAAAAACAGCTTCCCACTCTTCACCTGGTAATGTCAAGAACCGAAATTAAAAGGAACGTCCCGCACATGGTCAGTAGAAACTTGCACGCTGTAATGTAGCCTAAATGCTGAGAGCCTTTGCATACACAAACTTACAAGATGAGGTCTTCATTTCATGCCTGTTTTGATCTTCCTGGTCAGCTTGCCCGCAGTTTATTCATTTTTTTGCCAGTAATTAATTGAGAGGCAATCCATTGAGATGGGGCAATATTGAAGGACAATCTATTGAGAAATTGCAATCCATGACTTCCAAAAAGGACAACATTCCTTTCAATGTACTTGCTGCAACATAGCAGTTAAACTATCATAAAATGAGGTGCAAATGGATGTGCACTATTATTTTTAAGCTTACGTATATCTAAGGTTCTTAATGTGCTGAAATGTCTAACTTCATATGAACAAGCCAGTGGCATACTAAATTTTGAGCCACCATTCCAGAAACAGCAAATAACAAACCATTCCTAAAGATCTTTCACCAGCTCTTAAAATCCAACTGCTGATCACTGCCCTCAAGGAATATTTCCGAGTATGTTTGCACAGTTTTAAAATGAGTTTCTCATTTACAAAAGACACCAGAAGTCTTAATCTGATCATCAATTGTTCACAAAGATGCACTAAGTGCCAAGTATAATGCCATGGCAGAGAGCAACATAACTACGGTATATACTAGTATAATGAATGACTGACAAATGAGCAACTTAATAATATAAAAATCTTTATATAACAGTTACTAATCGAAATTTTTATACTCATGAATTTTTTGATGAAATTAAACTCAAAATTGATTGAAGCACTTTCAAAACTTATGCAACATAATACCCACATAACAATGCAGTACCAAATGCTGTTACTGAGACCATAATAATGATCATAATGTCTTACTGACCTTATCATAGACGTCTTGTGTTATGCATGTGAAAGCTTTTTCAACATTGGAGCCCATGTAGGCACTTGTTTCCACATATTTAATCCCATAGAATTTAGCCAATGCCTCAGCGTCTTCACGACGCACCTCCCGCTGCTCTGATAGGTCACTCTGCAATAAGAACAAAGTCAAGTAATAATTCAGCAATGTACATAAGCCCAACATAACTAGCTTAGGTATAAATATCTTATAACGGGCAGTGATAATGTGTGAATATCTTTGAATTTAATTACTTACTATTAGAAAATATTCCATTTTTCTTAGAAAAAATGTTCTATTTCCTCATCTACCTGTTCATGTATTCTCCATGTAATTCAAGATGAAATCATTGGAAAGGATTTGCCAAACCAAAATCACACACTTTTTTTTTAAATTGAGGATGTTGTTCTGTAGCATCCTAGGCAATGTTACAGTTGAAATTGAAAAATTTCTAGGAAAACCTCACCAAATAATCACAAAACTTCACTTTATTTATAAAAATACATTTCATTTAGAGAATGTCCATATATATCACACACCTTGGTTCCAACTAGAACAAATACCGCTTGGTGAGGTGCCATGTGTCTCTTAGCTTCCATGATCCACATTGGCACGTGTTCAAGACTGCGCTTCTTGCACACATCAAACACCACAAGCGCTCCCACTGAGTTACGGTAATATGATCGAGTGATGGATCTGAGAGAAAAAGATAAATAATCAATGCAACACAAAACTGACTGAAATTTTCACAGCAGTACAGATTTAGTTTTATTTATGTACAGCAATAATAAATATATTTGAACTGTTACGTACTCAGCACAGTTATTAAAAGTAACTGAGATAATAATGTTGCATCTATTAATGTTCAATTGAGGGCTGAAAATGGATGATGACTGATTGGCTCATCAGGTCCATAATTTTGCAATATTTTTCATTTTATTACATTTCATTGCATTGGTACTAAAACGTTAGTACTCCTGAGGTACCACTAATCATCACTTGATGGGCCCAACTCTTGGAAAATTGTAAACACAAGAAGTCTTTCTGGTGAGATGGGACCCGAAACTTCAAAATTTAGAAATTAAAAACATTTTTTTACAATTTTTTTCACACCATGCTCAGCATTATTCATTGTGGAGCATTTTCAAAGCCACCTGGATGACCACGTCACCATAAAAAAGACTCTAGATGATAAAGTATCATTACTATGAATCATAACACACATTATTTTCAAATAACTAGAACAAGGCAAAATTTTGCAATCACTCACATGTTGTAAGTTCCATGTTTATTTTGTCCTACTTATACATCAACTCAAACAGCCTTATTTACACAAGCAGTATTTATTCTAACATTCCATGGTAGTTGAGTTTTAAAATAAGTTACTGATGCACATTAAAACCAACCTGAATCTCTCTTGTCCAGCTGTATCCCAAAGTTGTAGTTTTATTCTTGTCCCATCAGCCACTTCAACCAGTCGGGCAAAGAAATCCACACCAACAGTTGGATCTGAAACCTGAGTAAGGACAGGATCAGTATATATACCTACATACCACCAAGCATTGAGTAGGTATATGAAACAAGACATTCATGCACAAACTAGTTAGGGAACCAGTGAATAGTCAATTTTAAAATATTTTGCAATTATTGAATCAAATTTTTCAGGAGCTGCACAATTTTTAACATTAAATAAAGAACCTAAGATAATAATACAACATTTCAACCCTTGCTTACCTCAAAAAATTTTCCATCTGTGAAGTATCTAAGCAAAGAGCTTTTGCCAACAGTTGTGTCACCTATCAAAATCAGGCGAAACTGATAGTCAAATATTGGCTCAACCATTTTTGCTCATACACTTTACTTTGGGCTAAAATAAATATATTTTATTAGAGATATAACACAAAATAATCCAACAGTAGCATGTTAAAATAAGTAGCCTCAATGAATTTGAGGCTCCTGAATAAGTACAATCTTGATTACCTACTAAAGACTTCAGCTATCTGGCAATAGTAATTTAAATTCTCATGACTTTATTTGCAGCATTCAAAACTTTTACTACTCATAAGCTCATCCAATCCATAAAATATAAATTTTCTAATTTAGGAACATAAAAACAATCTTTATTTGGGGTTCAACCCTAAAATACCAACAATAGCAAAGATACAACAATATGAATGTAAATGAATAAGCACATCTGCACTTGCAAACTGCATAAAAATTTTTATCTCATCAATGATATGACTGATCTGACACAATTAACATGAATTCAATGCAATTAATTCTCAATTTTTCTACTTCAAAATTCCAACAATTGTAAACAATTTTAAATAAATCATACATTTATTGAATTTTGTCTATTATAGGCCAATGTATGTCCATATTTCATCATTACCGTGTGCATAAAAATTTTTTTAGAATCTTCTATTACTTTTACAATACAATAATATTCAATGAGTTTACTCCATGCCAATGACAACTTGGAAAATCATTTTATACTTCTACATACATAATGTAGAATACATTTACATGTATTACACAGCTATTAAACCCAGGGCGCAGAAAGTGGGTGAATATGGCAAGATCTTTGGCGACACCTCAGCAGAAAAAATTACGCTTTCAGAAGACCTTACCGACACATTTGGATTTAAATTAAATTGCATTCCAGATATTTGCCAGTTGTCAGCCAACTATTCAGAAAATAGTTGAAAATCTTAGACCACAAGTGACGGATACAGTATATAACGAGAACTTTAATAATTCTAGTACTAAGCAACAGTTGCTAGGATGTAGGGTTCACAATAGCTTTATTGATATGAGAACAGCACCATCTCTTGGCTGTCTGGGCAGCAGAATCATGTCAAGCCTCACTCTACTTTGCCGCTCTCTCAGTAGATGGTGCAACACGTCTGGCTGCCAGATAGCTGCCGAGGTACCTATACGTGTTGAGTTATAAGTGTTGCAGTGCATGGAGAGTATGGGATATACTAGTATCGAAGTTGTTAGCAGCTTTTTCTTATTAAAAACTACCCAGCAATGCATCTTGAAAATGGCTGGAGATGCTTTGGGCTAAATATCCATATATTGGCGATGCTGCTTGCACCCTCTGCACTCTGGTATTAAACCAAGTAAGAAAAAAAAACATTATTGGAAATTTGGAAGTTGAAAATTTTGTGATATGACATAATTATTGTGAAATGTGAACCNCTCTACACAGGTTTTCTTTGAAAATTAACCAAAAATTAATTATTTGCAGAAGAGGGTTGAAACAAACACTGAAATGACAGGCAATTATTGCTCTAACATATTCTTTTTTCAAATTAAATTCAGTACAATTAGAATGCATGCAATTGGCCGGTCCTTTCTTACCCCATGAAGGCTGCGATCCTGTCTTACCTCATTTGACTATATATATATCAAACTTGTTAGCAGCTTTTTCTTATTAAAAACTACCCAGCAATGCATCTTGAAAATGGCTGGCGATGCTTTGGGCTAAATATCCATAGATTGGCGATGCTGCTTGCACCCTCTGCACCCTGGTTTTAAACCAAGTAAGGAAAAAAAAACATTATTGGAAATTTGGAAGTTGAAAATTTTGTAATGCTCAACCTAGTTCCCACAGGTCACTACCGGTTAATGCTTAACCTAGTTCCAACAGGTCACTCATGCTCAGACTAGTTCCAGAAGTGCACAGTCACATCGGTAAAGCGCGTGCAGAGTGCAGATAGTTCGGATACTAGCAATTGTGACACGCCAGCCTCGTGTTTATGCACATAATTAAAATGAACACACGTGAAAATTCGTTATAAGCATGCAATTGATTCGAGTATCAACTTACACACAATGATGATCCTTACTTTGTCAGAAATTATAAATACAAGAACAGTATATCGCAATGCCAAACATAGAGTTGTAATCAAAACTGTTTATGATATAAAATACTAATATAAGGGAAGATAGTGCCGTAGTTTCACGCTAATAATAATATACCGCAGTTGATAAAAATCAGTATACAATAAACATTGGTACGGGGCTTGACTTCACGGTTTGGTTTTAGTAGACCAAGGTACACTATCGAAATTTCGCGTTCTATGACGAACATATGGAGAGCAGAACAACTTTACATTTACAAAAATACACGAGTCGTATAGTCTAAATCGTGACAAAATTTTTTCTCGTAATATTATTACGACTTTCTGCCCGGCAAAACTGGGTCAGGTCGAAGCACAACAGGGAAAAAGTGCATCGCAATTTAGACAAAGTCTCACTTATTTCGCTGAGTGTATAACTCACGCGATCTAATTAACCGTTTGTTGCGCCGCCTGCACAACATTTCTGGGGCTAGGTAGCTTTGCCTGCATCCTTCAGTACGTATTAAAATAAACTTATTTATTAGGCTTGTCAAGTACAAGCAAGAGCAGTCACAAGGCATGGGCCTATGATTAAGGTCAGCAATAAAAATAATTTTGTCTCTAAAAATAATCCCTTTTAAAAATAATAATCTCTACAAATAATCCCTTTCAAAATAATAATCTCTAACAATAACCGCTTTGATAAGAAATAATTTTATTTTACATAAAACATTTGGGCCGTTGGCAGGGACACATCGTCGGGTTGAGGCACGGAGGCTAGAACAACGTCGTCCTATACACCCATAATAATGAATGGGTAATATCTAGAACAACGTCTCCCAGCACACCCAGGAAAATGAATGGGTTATATTGTCCAAAATAGTGACACACTTTCTGCCCGTAGCACTGATACACCAGGGGATGACGCACACAAGGCAGAAATTCCAACAGGTCGCTAATGCTCAACCTAGTTCCCACAGGTCCCTACCGGCTAATGCTCAACCTAGTTCCAACAGGTCACTAATGCTCAGACTAGTTCCAGAAGTGCACAGTCTCTTCGGTAAAGCGCGTGCAGAGTGCAGATAGTTCGGATACTAGCAATTGTGACACGCCAGCCTCGTGTTTATGCACATAATTGAAATGAACACACGTGAAAATTCGTTATTTTTTAAGCATGCAATTAACTCGAGTATCAATTTGCACACAATGGTGATCTTTCCTTTGTCTGAAATTATAAATACAAGAACAGTACATCGCAATGCCAAACATAGAGTTGCAATCAAAACTGTTTATGATATAAAATATCTAATATAAGGGAAGATAGTGCCGTGGTTTCACCCTTATAATAATATACCGTAGTCGATTAAAATCAGTATACAATGGAAATTGGTGTGGGGCTTGACTTCACGGTTTGGTTTTAGTAGACCGAGGTACACTATCGAAATTTCGCGTTCTATGACGAACATATGGAGAGCAGAACAACTTTACATTTACAAAAATACGTGAGTCGTATTGTCTCAATCGTGACAAACTGTCTTTACGTAATATTAATACGCTCTATTTACCGGGCCAAACTGGGTCAGGTTGACCCACACAGGGAAAAAGTGCATCGCAATTTAGACGAAGTCTCATTTATTTCGCTGAGTGTAGGACTCAAGCGCTCTAAACAACCGTTGCTGCGCCGCCTGCGCAACATTTCTGGGGCTAGATAGCTTTGCCTGCATCCTTCAGTACGTATCAAAATAAACTATCATGTAAGTTAAACGTAACTAAAATCACAAAATAATTTTTTGTGATTTAATAAATCACAAATAATCGTAAATAAAATCACAAAAAAAGCAAGAGCAGTCACAAGGCATGGGCCTATGATTAAGGTCAGCAATAAAAATAATTTTTTCTCTAAAAATAATCCCTTTGAAAAATAATAATCTCTAAAAATAACCGCTTTGATAAGAAATAATTTTATTTTACATAAAACATTTGGGCCGTTGGTCGGGACACATCGTCGGGTTGAGGCACGGAGGCTAAAACAACTTCTCCCTGCACACCCAGGAAAATGAATGGTTCATGTTGTCCAAAATAGTGACACACTTTCTGCCCGTTGAAATGATACACCAGGGGGTGACGCAAACAAGGCAGAAATTATTAATAATAATTAAAGTTGAGACGAAAATATGAAGATCAGCTGTAGTATCAATGACCTGAAGACGGCTTAACATTTGAGAAGAATATTATGACTCAAAGATGATCTGTGGAATAATCAACATAGATCATAAATAATCAAGAAGATCATTTCTTGAGCAACGGGCTTAATTTACCGACTTTTGTGAAGTTTATAAACCTAAAGGTGATCATAGATAGATGGAGTTAAGAATTACTGCACTAGTATCATCCTGAGATCAATAACAGTTAACTCACTCGATGAACATCTTGTATAAGGAGGATTTCTTTGATATATTACATGTGCATAAATATATGATACATGCAATCGAAGTTTTTCCTTTCTTAGTCTCACTCAGGATGAGCTTCACAAATGTTCATTCACAGACACCCGTTCAACTTTCAGCATAAAGTAATCCATCTTTTTTTTAAACAGGAGCATATTAATAAAAATTCAAGACCATTTGGCTAAATCTGTGACATTATTTCCACAAACTCACGAGGGAACCAACGTAAGCTTCATTAAACAATGAAAGTAATGAATGAAATTTAATGTTAGCTTCATTAAACAATGAAATTAATGAAGGAAGTTTAATGTTAGCTTCATTAAACAATGAAGTTTATTGCCAAGTAACTGCAGAATGAAGGAACTCAGTGTGACCGTGCGAAAATTAGGAGCAATTCCTGGCTGTTGTCTTGTTGAAAAACTATAAAAAGCCTTTCCTCGAGCAGAAGTCTATTGCAGTCACAAACATTATCAAAGATCGACAATATCAAAACGCAAAATGTTGTACAAATACATAAATAGGGTCGATTATGAAAACGATCCTTGCCGGCAATTAGCTGCAATATTTCGAAT